CTTCGGCTCAGGTCATGATCTCAGGGTCCTGGGATCGAGTCCCGCATCGGGCTCTCTGCTCGGCAGGGAGCCTGCTTCCCTCTCTCTCTCTGCCTGCCTCTCTGTCTACTTGTGATCTCTCTCTGTCAAATAAATAAATAAAATCTTTAAAAAAAAAAAAAAAAAAAAAAAAGAAAGTGCAAAGATAGGATCGCCTGGATGGTTCAGTAGGTTAAGCATCTGCCTTCAGCTGAGGCCATGCTCCCAGGGTCGGGGGATCAAGCCCTGCTTCAGGCTCCCTGCTCAGTAGGGAGTCTGCTTCTCCATCTCCCTCTGTCTGCCCCGAGCTATACTCTCACTTGTTCTCAAATAAATAAAATCTTAAAAAAAAAAAAAAAGTACAGTAAGATAACTGGAGCATCAGAATCAACATTTCCACAAAAACTCTAAAAATCTTTTCAACACATGACCCTGTAACTAAATTTAAATTCAAACAAATCTCAACATCAAGATATGTTTCACCTATGAAGTCATTCTATATATCCACTACTGATCACTTCTCTTTTTAAAATTCTCCAAGCATCAAAGGAAATATAAAAAGGCCTCTGATATGAGGCCTCACCACCTAAGGAACCATAGAGATCCTAAGAGACATAATAAAAATATGACTGTCCCAGGACTATTTATCTCCGGTGTTACAGACACTTGTTTCCTAGCTCACATCCACCTACACCACCTCCTGCACCCAAGAGTTCACACACATAACAATAAAGGCTTCAGTATTTTTTAAATGTCAGTTACAGATAGTATTAGAATATACAGTATATTCTAGATATGAAAATATGTATCATTACATAATTAATCTAACAATCATTATTTACCCTAATTACATATCACTTTTTATATTCTTCTTAAGTCTAAGAGACAAAGTTTTCAAAGTGAAGAAAGCCTGTCCTTCAACAAGGTAAACCAGCTTTCAGGCAAGATGGCCCGATGTGAAATGAAGTAAGAGGCCAAGCTCTTTTTGCTGCCTGTTCTGAGTAATACACTATAAAATATAAACCAAATATTGAATTTATGAGAATATTTAAACTTAAAGCAATATGCAATTCTAAAATAATGAGAGGCAAGAGATGTCACAAGGGAAGACTTTCACAACCTGAGACATTCAAACTCTCACAACTTGTTATTCATATATATATATATATATATATATATATATATACATACTCAAAAAGTACTGCATAATGAGGTTAATGAGGTCCTAAAGCCAAAACATAATCACACACAAAAAAATCTAAACCTAAGCTAATAGGTTAAAGGATTGTTTTTAAATTAAGTATAAACTGATTTTAAATTGCAGTTTAAGCTAATTTTCCAGTGCAATTCAAGCACAGAAGTTCTTACTTTGGGTAAGAGTAGAGGGAATAAAAATGTCCAGAAATTCTATGCAAAATGCCCACGCGTTCAATTTCCTGGAGAGACAGCCACAGGTTTCATTAGACTCCGAGGGGTCCACAGCTCGTGAAGGAATTACCAATTGCTACTCAAAAATTAATACACTGTTAGTCCCATCACTTTTTTAACTTCAGTAAATCATGAAGGCAATCAAAAAAAAAAAAAAATCCAGAGTTAACTTGGGTTCTGAAAAATCCTTTTTAAAACAATGTCAAAGGAAGTTTTATAAAAAACCACTTTAGTAAATTTAATGTCTCTTAGGCTAATTTCAACACTCTTCAAGGAACCCTACAACAGATTTCTTAGATTAAGAATTCATTGTACAGTGGAATCTTGCCATTTCCAACAAACTGGATGGATCTAAAGAGTATATGATTTCCTGCCTATGTGGAATTTAAGAAACAAAGTAAGAAAAGAGAGAGACAAACCAAAAAACAGACTCTTAATTGTAGAGAGCAAATGGATGGTTACCAGAGGGGAGATGGATGAGGGGATGGGTAAAATAGGTGATGGGAATTAAGAGTACACTTATCACAATGAACATCGAGTAATGTATAGAATTGTCAAATCACTGTATTATACACCTGAAACTAGTATGACACTATATGTTAACTATACTAGAATTAAAATTCTTAAAGAAAATTTATTTTACAATAATGGAAAAGTAGAGGGTTTTATATATTCCATATACAAAAAATAAATTTTTAAGATACAAAAATACCACAGGAGAACAGAGATCATCTTTTATCTTTGTCCATCATAACCTCACCAATTCATATTATCATAGAGAGTGACACTGCTTTTTGAATATTTCCACCATAATTCCTTTTCTCCTGGATTTCCCAGAAATAATCTGATATGTTTTCATCGACTACAATGATATAATTAATCTAACTACATTTCTTTAAAATAACCTTCCTTTAAAATATCTTAACACTTCCCAACTCCTGCTATGAAATCAATTTAACCTTGATACCAAAACCAGCAAGACAAAAAAATTAACTATAGACTTACATCTCTTACGAATAAATTAGAAGTCCTCAATAAAATACTAGTAAACAAAACCTAGCACTAAGTAAAAAGTGTTATATACCATGATCAAGTGAGATTTATCCCAGTAACATATGAATAGTTTAATATTTGAAAATCAATTAATATAATACACCATATCAGCAAAATAAAAAACTAGTTTTATAATTATCTCAATAGATGAACACAAACATGAACAAAACTCAACCTTCACAGTGTTAAAAAAAAAAAAAAAAATTCACCCAACAAGCTACGAAAAGAAGGCAACTTCCTCAATTTGATAAAGGACATCTATGTAAACCTCACAGCTAACATTATACTTAATAGTGGAACACTAAATGCCTTCTTCCTGAGATCAGAAAAAAGGTAAGGATGCACACTATCACCACTCCTATTCTACACTGTACTAGAGCTTTTAGCCACGTCAATCGGGCAAGAAAAATGAAATAGAAGGCATAGAGAATGAAAAGAAAGAAGTATAACTACTTCTATTTGCAGAGGATATGATCTCATGTATAGAAAATCCTAAAGAATCCACCAAACAGCTTTAGAACTGATTAATGAGTCCTGCAAAGTTGCAGGATACAAGATCAATATAAGAAAATGAATTTATTCCTATAAGTAGCAATGAGCTAACTGAAAATGAAATTTTAAAAAATTTTAATTTAGAACAGCACCAAAAAGAATAAATAAGAAATAATTAGCAAGACAAGTGTAAAACTTATACTCTGAAACTACAAAACACTGGTGAAAAAATTCAATAACACTAAATAAACGGAAAATCATATATTTATAGATCAGAAAATTCAGTATTTTTAAGATAGCAAGAGTCCCCTAATTGATTTGCAGATTCAATGCAATCCATATCAAAATCTAAGTTGCCTTTTTTACATAAGTTGATGAACTGATTCTAAAATTCACAAGAAAATTCAAGAGACCCAGAAGAGGCAAAACAATCTTGACAGAGAACAACAAAGTTGGAAGACTCGCACTTACTGTTTTCAAAACTTACCACAAAGCTGCAATAATCAAGACTATGTGGTACCACCATAAGGACAGACATGGAGAGCAACAGAAGAGAACTGAGAGATGGACTGTCTCATCACTGCTTTCCAATTTTCCTCCATCATAATCAGACACCAAATGATCTGTGCAACATCGTCTCTACACAACACTAAGTTGAAATTCACTTTGTTGTACTACTGGTTCATATGTTTTTATTAATGAGCCAGGTATACTAGAAAAAAATGAATAATCTTTAGCTGTTAGGAGGAGAGCTCCATATATATTCATTACCCCAATCTTGTCATTTTCTTGTTCACATCTTCTATGGTCTCAATAAATGTTTCTGCCTGCTTGGTCTTAGGATATGTGTTAAGATATAAGTTAATATCTCCAACAAAGATTATAGTTTTGGTGGGTGGAGGGATAGGCGATGGGGATTAAAGGGTACACTTACCATGAGGAAAGAAAAATTAAATTTTTAAAAAATTACATTTCTAGTCATTTCTCCTTGTACTTCCGGCAATCTCTCCTTTAAAATTTGAGACATTATTATTTAGTCCAGGTTCATGTTTATTACATGTCCCCAAAGCACTGTTCCTTGTATCACTGTACAACAGTCTCTTTGTTTTTTGGCTTTCAGTGTTTTTTTTTTTGTCTGATACTGACATAACCATATAAGCTCTTTTTGGTTCGTATTTCTCTATCAGTTTGGGTTTATCAGACAAGTGGAACCACTATAAGTGATAAGAATAAAGAGTTACTATAGATGTGAACAGTAATTGTGGGAGCTAATTAAGCAAGTTTGGTAGAACGGTTGATTCTGCCTCTAGGGTTAGGACGGAAATCAGAGGGCAGGCAATGGGCAAGGATGAAATGATATGAAATGGGGAAGTACAAGGACAAACTGGTCCATCTGTTTCTCATCAACCTCAATGATGTGGTTACCCGTAGTATAATCTAGCATTCTTTACTGCAGAGCCCACATATCTAACCAAGAATTCAGAAAAGCTGAAAGACATGATCCAGTAGGAACTGGAGAGGCTGTAGACCAGGTGTATCAACTGTACCAGTGCCTGACTCCAACACCAACCCTGTAAGCATCAAGAGAGCTACTGCTTCGCTTCCACCTTACAAATGTTGTGCTGGTTTCTCTTGTAGCCTGCACAACAGGGAACCATCCTGGAAAGGGAGTCCTAGGAAATGGAGTTCCAGCTCGGTTATGCTGACACAATACAAAGCCACCGGAACGTGCATGGATATCTATTTCCATCTCCTTAATTTTATTCTTTCTGTAAAATAATGTTTTAAGAATGTCTCTTGAAAATAGCACATTGCTGGATTTTTCTTTCATCCTATCTAGACTCTATCATTTAACGATCATGTTTAATCCACTTACATTTATTGGGGTTTATGACTTTCATAACTTAAAAGAACTATCTTTTAAAAATGAAATAAAGTATCATCTGTACCAGAGATACAGGCATGATTTGCACTCCTTAAGTATTTTATATGCATGACTTGTTACTTACCACTTCTCCAGCAGAGGCAGCCAACATATGCTTCACAGGCATTAAATATGAAGACGAATCGGTGTGCAAAAACCATTTCATATATTCATAGGTGATAAAAAAAGCAGCAGCTGAAATTTAAAACAAACCAGTCTTTCACAAAGTTTAAATATATATTCAAACTGTTTAGAAATGTTTCTCAAAAACAATTACAACCCGAATTATTAAATTATGAGGTAAGAGAAAAGATAATAGTTGAAACACATACTCTTCTCCCCTGCCCCACTCTTGTAGAATTTACAGTGTCCATGTTATATGCCCAAACCTGGACTTACTAAAAATGCTGAAGACATGATCCCAGCCCTGAGGGAGCCTAACAGCTAAGGTTACATTCACCACTTTGTATTAATAAGTCACTTGACATTTTTTAGTAATTACTCTAGAATAAGATAACGAATTTCTGTGATCCTAATTATCTTTACATACAATAAAACAAGCCACTACGCTGATTTATAGACAGGTTAAGACTGAAAACATATACTTTAACTAAAACATCTATTTGATAATGTTTTATTGCTATTCACTCAAAATAGCTATGGCCACTTTTTACCATATCATGTCACCATTACATCAAGGAAATAATCAACTATTTAATTACAACTGGAAATCAAAAATCTCAAAAAAGCTACCTCTATCACCATGAACTAATCTTAACAGCACAAGAGGGCTTTTAAAACCTGCCATGTACTGTTAATTAAAAGATGTTTATCACTTCCATAAAAGATAAGGCATGAAAGATAAATGAATGACAAATTCATCTTTTGAAGGACATTTGGACAAAATCACATTAAAGTCTAAAACACTCAGAAAAAGAGCTTCATAGTGAAATTAGTTTTCAACAGTTAAAGTCAACGAGCTTTTAAACTCTCCTCAGGCTGCTAACAAATAAAAACACCGGGCCAAATGAGGACTCTTGTAACTGAAGGAGTAATGACCAATGCAAACAGTTTTACATAATTAACACAGATCCCTATTCCCACAGTGGTTCTCAATAAGGCTTTCCCTACTTCTGCACACTCACCAAATGTACACCAAATAACCGAATTCAGCAATAAGTTCTACCTGCTACACATTTCACCCTCCCACCCCATCCCCAGGGAAGGAAAATAGTGCTACCAGTTTCTTGGTTTTCCTGGTTAATCACCTCAACCTGTTTAGACTATATTGCAAATTTGTGATAGACAAAATCTTTTAGAAATGTAAATCCCAGAGGCACCTGGGTCCATCCAACTCTTGATCTCAGCTCAGGTCATGATCTCAAGGTCAAGAGTTCAAGCCTTACTTTGGACTCCACACTGGGTGTGGAGCCTACTTTAAAAAAAAAAAAATGAAATGTAAATCCCAAAATTCTCCAAGGTGACAACCAAGAAAACACCGCTAATTGGAAATGATGTGACAAGGTTCCAAGTGGGGCTCTGGACAAGTTACAATAAAGAAAAGGAATTGGGCTGATATGTACAGTCTCTTCTAGCTCTTTTTTTTTTTTTTTAAGATTTTATTTATTTATTTGACAGAGAGAGAGAGATGGCAGGAGCGAGTGAGCACAAGAAGGTGGAGCTGCAGGCAGAGGGAGAGAAGTAGGCTCCCCATTGAGCAGAGAGCCTGATGTGGAGCTCGATCCCAGGACCCTGGGATCATGATCTAAGCTGAAGACAGACATTTAACTGACTGAGCCACCTAGATTCCCCTCTTCCAGCTCTTTAAAAACAAAAACCTACAGTTTTTCTACACTCCCTTCAAATAAAAGTAAAGATTCTGAATAGGGTCTGCTGTTTCCTCTTTCAACCCTCAGTCCCTTCTCCCCCAACTCTTCACCCGTGCAGAATACTGCAGTCCCCCCTTATCCCCAAGGTATTTGTTCAAGAGCCCCAGTACACGACTGAAATGATGCACAGTGCCAGACCCTGTATATCCTGCATTTTCCCTATACATACATATCCGTGCTACAGTTTAATTTATCAATTAGCCACAGTAAGAGATTAATGAAACAGAACAATGCACTGTAATAAAAGTTAGGTGAATGTGGTCATTCTCTCTCAAATATACCTATACTGTACTCACCCTTTTTTTCGTGATGGCAGGAGATGATAAAATGCCTGCATGGTGAGATACAGTAAGATGAACGAGGTAGGCATGTGACGTGGCATTAAGCTACTACCGACCTCCTGATGATGCATCAGAAGGAGGATCATCTGCTTCTGGAAAACGACTCACCAGGGGTAACTGAACCACCAAAAGCAAAACCACGGATAAGGGGGGACCACCATATGGTCTAAGAAAAGTCTACAGCCACTGAATGTTACACTGGTGTATTGTAGGCAGACTAGAGCCTTAACGAACAGTAAAAGAAAAAAAAAAGGGGGGCCACATTAACATTCACCAAAAATTTACAGAAAAATAAAAAGGCCATTTCTGAGCCACAGGCACTTTGATGGACTACCCAGCACCACCCATCCACTGATGTTCTATGGATGGCACAAAAACAGAGTAAGTAGGGCAAGAAAAACATTTTCTCACGCATGCAAAAGTTGAAAATACATGAAGTCCTACGAGCAAGAATCTATTACAGTCCTGTGAGCCTGACAGCCCCATGTACTCCACAGACTATTGCTAATACTACCATCTACCAACATGAATTCCTCTCTGCAATTTTTAAGAGAAAGAGAATTTTTAGAACAATAAAGGTAATACCATAAGAGGTGTTTTGTTTTGTTTTTGTTTTTGTTTTTTAATTCCAATGCCCAGGCCACACCTCAGGCCAGGGAAATCACATCTTTGAAAGTGGGACACAAGCATCAGTACTTTTTTAACCTCTCAGGTGATGGCACTGTGGTCAAATTTAGGAACAGCTACATCTCTCCCACATAGAGAACTACATGTGACAGGGAGCAGGTGCTCCAGAGTAGCTTCCCTACAGTCAACTCCTTACTGTAGTAAGACAAATGAAAATTGAGGGATAACCTCAAAGACAGTTTGCTGTTCTAAGGGCTGCTGGGAGAGGGAGAAGAAGAAAGAGAGAGACCAAAGGACCAAAACACTATTTTCTCTCTGCACTATCTATCTTTATGTGAATATTATGCTCCAGGTGAACACAGATGAACACCTAAATGTCAGGTGAACATGAAAGAATTCCTCATGAACTATCCTGAGAAAACCTCGAGTTTAAGAATCTCCTAGAGCAGAGGTTAGTCTATAATTGAGTGTGTGTGTGTGACTGTTTTGTTCGCTTGCTTTGCTAGTGAGTGCCACTGAAAGTGTCAGTAAACAAAATAAGTATCTGAAAAAAGTACACTGAAAAGTAGATTTAAAAAAACAAATTATACTGGGTGCCTGGGTGGCTCAGTAGGTTGAGCTTCTGACTTTGGCTCAGGTCATGATCCCAGGGTCCTGGGATCGAGTCCCACATCGGGCTCTCTGCTCAGCAGGGAGCCTGCTTCCCCCTCTCTCTCTGCCTGCTTCTCTGCCTACTTGTGATCTCTGTCTGTCAAATAAATTTTAAAAATCTTAAAAAAAAAAATTATACTGATTACAAAGTAAGAGGACCATAAATCACATAATGTGACTCCAAACCTACAACAAAACAAGACACTCAAAGGAGAGTATACAGGAGGAGGGTAGTGGGAGTTGGCTGTATCATCTAAGAGCAATTTAGTTAAGACGGAAAAGGTTTAAGGCCTCTCAGGTTCATGTGCTCCCAAAGAATCTCCACGGCAGTAGTTATTAAACTCGGCCTCACAGTGGAATCACCTAGGAAGCAACTAAACCCCCTGATACCCAGGCAAAGCCCAGACCAATTAAACTTACGGAGGTGACATAGGCATCAGTATTTTTTAAAGCTTCCCAAGAGATTCCATGGGAGGGCAAGGGTGACAACCACGGCTCTGAGGTATGACAAGCAATATTAGAGTAACATTTTCAAGATTCTAACTGGGAATTTTAACAAGAAAAACCATTTTAGAAAGATTGCTTTATTCTATTACAAATACAGTGGAATGGGATCTCTAGCACTAGCTGATTCAAAGTAGTGGGTTAATGAATTGAAAACAAATTCAAGAGATAAGCACAACATATGAGCAATTCCACACGGGGTAACATCACATAGCATCCTGAAAGTAAATCTCATTATCTTGGTTTTCTAGAAGTGAGAATATCAATGTAATTTTTACCATTAGGAAAGGATCCAATAGCAGCAGAAGGAACGCCAGCATAGATTCCATGAAAACCACCAGCCTTATTAAATCCTTGTGGACTCTGAAGCCTGGTTTTAATGGTATCCAGAGGAAATAATATCAAGTCAACAGCGACACCTGCTACCCCACCAGCCTTTAAAAAAAAAAAGAAGGAAAGAAGGTTAGAATCAAATAAGCTCTCTGCCATATGGGGGTAGGGATAAGACAAAAGTAATCTTTAAAGATTTTTTTTTTTATTTATTTATTGGACAGAGGGAGATCACAAGTAGGCAGAGAGACAGGCAGAGAGAGAGAGGAGGAAGCAGGTTCCCCACCAAGGAAAGAGCCCAATGTGGGGCTCGATCCCAGGACCCTGGGATCATGACCTGAGCCGAAGGCAGAGGCTTTAATCCTCTGAGCCACCCAGGTGCCCGACAAAAGTAATCTTTAAACGTATTTCTCATACCTATCAGTCCAGAGCTTATCTGGCATAGTCAAAGGAACTTCTACCTAAATTTATGGATTTTCCCTAGGGAAATAACTACTGTTGTGCTATATTCTTAAATTGTAATTTTTTAAATAAATTTTTATTTTAAAAATGTATTTTTAAATTCATTTTTAATGCCTCCGCATGGTTCAAAAGTCAACAAGCAACCTCAGAAAGTTTAAGAGTCTCTTTCCGTAGTCTAACAACTCAGGTAACCGCTTTCTGCTGGCTGCTTACTGTATCCTTCTGAAGTTACTCTAGGCATATACAAGCAAATATGAAAACATACTTTATTTCCCTTTTTGGAAAAAAATGTATATACAATATGCACTGTGCTGCTCCCTGCTTTTATCACTTAATTTATCTTGCTGATCTTTCCATATCAGACGAAATGTTTTTGTCTTTTTACCAAATGAGTAGTAAAACTGAAGTCAGACCATTTGGGGAGAGACTTCCATTTTGAAATGGGTACTTGTTCTTGGAAAACTAGATCTGTATTTTAAGATTCATACCATCTAAGAATTCCTGTAGTATTCATACTCCATTGTGTATATTTAAAAATTCCTTGATAATTTTTAAATTAAGTAAAAAAAAAAAAAATGTGGGGAAAAAACTAAGTTCCCAGAGCATATTAAAACCTGGCCCCTTGGGGTGCCTGGGTGGCTTAGTGGGTTGGGCCTCTGTCTTCGGCTCAGGTCATGGTCTTAGGGTCCTGGGATCGAGCCCCGCATTGGGCTTTCTGCTCAGCGGCGAGCCTGCTTCCCCCTCTCTGTTTGTCTGCTTCTCTGCCTACTTGTGATATCTTTCTGTCAAATAAATAAATAAAATCTTAAGGAAAAAAAAAAAAAAAACCTGGCCCCAAGTAGTCATCTCCCAAAAGACAACACGTTGCTTTGAAGAAGCTGCATTTTAAAACTACAGTAGAGCCTATATAGAATATTTTTAAACTGCTTATCACTTAGGCAAAGTGAAAAATTTCAGGAAAAAATTTTCAGAAAAATATGAACTCAAAAACAGTGTCAAAAAAAGCTCAATACACAAAGTCTAAAAGGCATCATTTAAAAATGTGAATCAAAACCAGTTTGCCGTGAGCAGAAAGAATTACAAAGAGAAAAAGACTCTCAATATGGCTCCTACATAGTAATTTTTAAAATGAACTCATTAGCTTTTCTCATCTTTTGAATTTTGAACATGAATATATTTCCTATCCAAAAGGTAGAAATATATATATATTAAAACTATATATTCAAAACTAAGGTATAGGGGCACCTGGGTGGCTCAGTGGGTTAAAGCCTCTGCCTTCAGCTCAGGTCATGATGCCAAGGTCCTGGGAACAAGCCCCACATCAGGCTCTCTGCTCACCCGGGAGCCTGCTTCCCCCTCTCTCTCTGCCTGCCTCTCTGCCTACTTGTGATCTCTGTCTGTCAAATAAATAAAAAAAATCTTAAAAAAAAAAAAAGCTAAGATACAGAAAAAGAGAAATCAGCATTATTCAAACATACAGGCAAAGTTCAAAATGATGAGTTGTTTCCATCCTTTGGTTACACAAAATGCCTGGGTGATACAAAGCTTAGTATATAGCAAACGCACTCTGCTCTACTTACCACTCACCATAAAACCATTGTAAGAGTTCACTGCAAAAATAAAAGTACTCCAGTGAGAAATCCAGTAATGAACTAGGGGAGGTAAATCATTAAAAATTCTATTAATAGAAACAGGAAAGTACATTACCATAAATATTAATGCTGTACTATATGATCAGCCTGAGAGACATGACAGAGCCTCAAAAACCACGAAGATCTACTCTGCAAATGACCTAAAGAGATGTCACCAAAACAACTCAGAGATGTCCCAGAAGAAAACCATAAGAGGCAGTAAAAGAATGACAAGAAATTGGGATTTTTTCCTGGAAATAAAGGTGGCCTTTTCTATGTCACAAGAGCATGTTCCTAAGTAATGTAGGAAAGTAAAAAAAAAAAAGATCCAACCTTTTCCAACACTGTTCTCAATTATTTTTAGAGGATTTTGTAAAATTCAGTACATAAATAAATATTGCACCTGCCTCTTTATTTTCTCAAAACACAAAGAAAACAAAAATCCTGCTGGGAATGTCTAATAAGACTAGATTCTTTACAAACATGCTGCATTTCATTGTAATTTTCTCTTTAATCCTAGGAGAGGACTCAGAGATACTTGCTATCTACTGATAAATTTTAATCAGTAAGTTAATTAGTCTTTTAATCTATTTGGCTTCTTTGCATGCATTGATTCTCTAACCCTTCTTTCATCAGAATTCTTACCTTCAGAGAATAAAATAACCAGATTCAATCTGTTTATCTAGTAAAACACGAATCAGAAGTTACTAATTGCTTTTGCAGATTTCAAACTTCTGTAACTCAAATGTCATTTAAATTTATGAGACTGAAAAAAAAAAAAAGCCAGAACAAGAATAGCAAACAGAAAAAAAAAAAAAAAAATCAATGCAT